TATGATCAGGATACAATGTTTGACCCTAACAATCCATGCTCTTTTGCTAATAAAATTAAGAATATCAAACCTCTAATAAAGGCCTCTTTAATACCTACTAATAATATTAGTATACCAAAAAAACCTCTCTTGATAATTCAAACTACGCATAGAAATCATGGTCAGAATAAATAGACACACCATATAGATTGACCAAAACACCTACAAATGAGTTAATAGATACACAAAAAATTTTAAATAAACTTGACGCCATCACTGCAACACTTGCAATACTTCACAATGACCTTCTTTTTCAATGTACCGTCTTGATGAAGTTGAAAAGCATCTCAACATTTCACGATCAGTTTAAGAAAGTCATAGAACTTAATGAAGCTAATAAAGCAGAAAGTGCTATAGAGACTGATACTGTATATGAACCTAAAATGGACACCTCAGACTCCAAAGTTACTGAACATGAAAAATGAATTACTTGATTATATAAAGAAAATGAAGAACTTCGTGCTTATCATAAAATTACCGTCAAAAAACTCAATGTCACGCTCTGAGCTATGACCAGTATTCAAAATATGGTATACGATGAAATGCATCTAAACCATAGTCCTAATTCCTAAACTCAATTTGTTCAATGCCATTAACACTTTAGATGATGGTACAGAGATTCCAAACCTGACTTATTCTTTAAATAATCATGATCTCACAATCATTTAATACAAAAATGGTGCCCCTCACTCTTAATATCACAACCCATAATACTCATTCCTTTACTTTACCACACAAATAACAAATCCTTTTTAATCTCTACTCTATTCATAATTTAAACATTATTGTCTTACAAGAAACGAACTTTAAAAATCTATCTTTTATACATTCCTTAAAGCCTGTTTGTTCTGACAAATTTATCCACTTCTTTAATACAGACCCCTCCACTCAAAGTATGAGGTTTGGAGTTAGCTTTCTCGTCAAAAAACACCTAGCTGATCATGTGTTTCATCACTCCTCCTTCTATCATCGTATTTTTTCAATTGATTCTCAATTTATAAATAAAAATAAACTTCATACCATAAATATTTATGTTTCTAGTTCAAATAAAAAATTATATAATAAGACTTACAAGAAAGTATTAGACCTCATAAACGATGCCTACCAAAAGGATTACCTTATAATACTTTTTAGTGATTTTAACATAGACCTATTAAGGATATCTATTCCTTCAAATTCAAAAGCTTTTTTCACCTCGTTTGATAACCTTCATCTAATTAACAATTTAGATCTCATCAAAAACCAAAAATCAGCTGATGATCTAACTACTTATGAAACCAATACAGGACATTTCATGATTGATTATATTTTTATTCATTTCGCATTAGTTCTGGATCTCATTGGTTAAGTAGTAAACAAAATTGATAATGACTTGTCTGATCACGCTATTATGCTTGCCACCATTTCATTAACATTAATTAACCCTTTCTTCACACAACGTTCAGCAATAAAAAAATTAGTTTATCAATATAATGATATGTTTGAAGATGATTGAATTGCCTTTAAAGCATCAGTTGACCAACGATGCAAAAATACAAGACTTAACTTCCTGTCAATAAACCACATTTACACAATCCACCACTTGAACTATTATTGGAATTTTCTATAAATTAATCATAGATGCAACCAATAAAACAATTCTCAATAAACATACTTCTTATCACAAATAAGATCTTAGACTATGTATACTCAAATTAATATACAAACGCATTAAACTAGTTCAAAAACTTTGTAACTTAAGCAATAAATGCATCACTGATAATATCATCGACTTCAAATAGACCACCTTATATAAAAAGATACACATATTTTTATCAGAATTCACAATTACAGTCTCAGATATTAGTCAACCCTCTATCCAAGATATTAGAACAATCTGCCCTCTGTTGATTGATCTCTGTAAAGTTCTATTTATAGCAGCCAAACTGAATGAAGCTGAACTCAAAAAAAAAGCTATTAATGAAGCAATTGAATGATGATGTACAAACTTAGTTGATGATCAGAAAGCTATATTTGACTTATTATTAGAATGGCCCTATAACACTATTATACTGGATAGATGTAAAAATAACAATAGCCCTGAAAAAGAGTTCTTTACAGATCCTAAGGATATTCAAAATGAAACGGTAAGGCATTTTTAGAGAGTAGTAGGCTCATAATATTCTAATCTAACACTTCCAGAGGTATGAGAATATGTTTATACGTTAGATAAATCAATTGATCTCAACATATATGATTCCATTATGCAACCCCTTCAGAAGAAGAATAGCATAACATCATTAAGGCGCTCTCTAATGATAAAGCTTCTGGATCATTTAAGATATCTAATAAAATGTTAAAACATCTTGGCTCCTTTGCATCAAAATACCTCTGGATCATTATTTGCAGATGTCTGTCACTCAATTTATTACCAAGTAGATGAAATCTAACTTTTGTATATCCAATACCCAAACTAAAACCCTAAGAATATAATCTAATAAACATATATCCTATTATGCTTCTAAAATACTCACATAAAGCTCTCGCAAAGCTAATCAACAGTTGACTCTTAACAGTCTTGTCCACTAATAATGTTTTTAAAGAAAACAACTTTGCTAGTCTACCTTTGAACCAATACACACCTTTGATAATATTAATTATGATGCATAATTCCATCACAATAATCTTTGGATCTTATTCCAAGATATGTCAAAAGTATACAATCATATTAATATCACTATATTAATTAGAGCTCTAGGATATCTTCACATCCCTAAAGCATTCATAAAATATTTGATTTCAATCTTTCTCTCTCATTTCAATCAAATATATACCGCATATGATAATTCTAATACTTATTTAGTCCTCTCAAAAATTTACTAAGGTAAAATCATATCTCTTATATTGTGGTGTATATACTATGATCCTCTTTTATGCTTCGTATATAACTCAGAACACAGTTATACACAACATGTCAACTGGAGAGCTGATATTACAAAGCGCAATACACAAAGTTTTCAAATCACGTTTTAGTTCTTTTATATATGAATGATACGCTCTGGCTAGCAGATTTCAGAACTGATCTTCTAAATATCATGAATATAGCAGATTCCTTCTATACACTTAATAGTATTCAAGTCAATTGGAATAAGTCAGTTCTTATGATTAATGACAAAGATTCTTCTCCTGTTAACTTTAACTTCAATAATAAGGATATCTAGCTCTTGCTATTATATCACAAAGAATCCACTAAATATTTAGGAGTTTAAGTATCTTTTTTAAGAATAAACAATTCATTACCAAACAAATTTTCGACGAATTCATCAAGACAAAAAATGTTCTTAGCAAGAAATGCTCACTGCTAAATACATGATTGCAATTTTCAATATAGTAGTTATTTCTTGCATACTATATAAGATTAAACTTATGTTTATTTCTTATTTAGTTTGTAATACTTTCATGATCTCATTCAGAACTTTTTTCAAAAAAATTAGGCCTTTTAAGATTTATATCCGCTTTGATTATTTATTCAACTTTTGGTTACAATCTAGCATATTTGTATGATAAACAAATACAAAGCAAATTATTTGATCTATTAAAAATGATCAATGATATTTCACTTCTTAGTTCAACTTCAACTTCACAGTTATGCATCTTACAACTTCAACTAATAGAATAGTTACCATCTTCTCCTTTAACTAATTAGCCATACGAAGAGATAAAGCTCTTTAAAGATTGGTGATCAGGTTTTCTATCCATTACGAAGCAAAATGGATTCAAATTTTAACAATGTTTAGATCAAAACTATTACTTAAAACAAATTGATGGAGGCTTACTTCCTATCTCACAAATTCTTCCTCCTAAGATATATTAGCAAAATATATTGAAGCTGCGTTCACTTTCGATTTTATATGTCAATTAACTTACCACTATAGATGGTCTTAACCTATTTACAGCCTTTAATCTAAATATGATTTATGACTCAGTATTCCATAATGCTAAATGGTTTATATAACTAGAGGTACAGCTTTTATTCATTAACTCAAATAGACT